ACAGCCTAAGGTTATGAAAAATAGCATATTACCTCCTCACCAGTGACTCCTTTCACTGAGGTGTGATGGCTGGAAGGAAGGCCAGGATTGAAAAAAAGGACCGAGAGACTTGCACCTGTGTCTAGCAACAGGCTGTTTTCTTTTTCCTCTATAGTCATGATTACCCAGGGCTCCTCCATGGGGATGACGGTCTGGCTAGAGGGAAAAGGCAGAGTATGCCCCGGGGCCCCTCATTCCTGTGGGAGTAACTGGTAGGATGGGTCTGAGCTCTGGGGCCTCTGCTTCAGAAGGCAGACCGATCTCCAGTGGTCACCTTTGCATTCAGGGGGCTTTACTTTTTATTTTGATGGTTTTTTTTCCCATTATAATAGCCATCTTTATTTGTAAAAGTCCAGATATAAAATGTATTCTTTTAGTCTTTCCAGATTTTCCATTTTTACAAAAAGGCACATAGAAACCTTCCCCTCTGTCATTCCTGTAGATGGATACTTTCAGGCAGCACCCGCATCCCTATTTTGATACTTGTTTTTGTTTTTGTTTTTGAGACAGGGTCTCCATCTGTAGTACAGGATGGCCTTGAACTCAAACTTGCAGCGATCCTCCTACCTTGGCCTCCCCAGTGCTATGTTATTTTTTATTTTGAGACAGGGTCTTGCTAAGTCAATAAGCTGCCCAGGCTGGGCTAGAATTTGAATTTGAATTTGAATTTCTGCCTCAGCCTCCCTTCTTGCTGACTGATGAAAGTGTAACCAGAGGCTGTCAGCAACTCCGTGTGCTTCCTCCGGACCAGTGGCTCTCTGGTTGCTAACTGAGTGTTCCCACCGACTGTGGGTGCAGCTGCTGTGACTGTGGAAGGACTGCCAGTGTCTCCCATTGCCCACGGCGAGCCAGGCCTGGGCTTGCTCACGCGCAGCAGGGCCCAGGACAGCCGAAGTTCCTTGCCCTGCGGCGCTCTGCAGAGGGAGGGGACCTTGATCCAGTAATCCTGGACATAGATACCTCGCTCCAGGAGCGCCCCGTGGGCGGTGCCCTGGGACTGATGCAGCTGTGTGGTGACGTGAGCTACAGCTGAAGGTCAAGCATATTTAGCCCTCTGCGTAGGCCATGGTAGAGCGTGGGTGGCACGGTCTGGGTGGGGCACCAAAAGCCCTTGCTGCAGTCCCCACCTGACAGCCTGCCCTCCTCCCCCAGGATCCGGGGCACTAGCTACCAGAGCCCCCACGGCATCCCCATCGACCTGCTGGACCGGCTGCTGATCGTCTCCACCTCGCCCTACAGCGAGAAGGACACCAAGCAGATCCTGCGCATCCGGTGTGCAGGCGCGGTGTGCCTGACACGGGGCGCTGGGCTGGGACGGCCTCTGCAGGGCAGGGAGGGGGCACTTTGGGGGCGCCAGGAAACCCAGGTTTTAGGTGTAGCCTCAGCATCTATGGCTAGGAGACGCCCGGGAGGGAGAGGCCAGGGTCCCTGTGCCACAGCCAGAGACCCGGCTCCACTGCAGGTGCGAGGAGGAGGACGTGGAGATGAGCGAGGACGCCTACACCGTGCTCACCCGCATAGGGCTGGAGACATCCCTGCGCTACGCCATCCAGCTCATCACTGCAGCCAGCCTCGTGTGCCGGAAACGCAAGGTCAGCGCCCGGTGTGGCCCCTCCACACGGGCTTGTTGCTAAGGCCTGGAGGATGTTCTCTTTGTAGATGCTTGGTTTTTTAAGACAGGGTCTCGCTGTGTAGTCCAGGCTGGCCTTGAACTCACTATGTAGCCCTGGCTGGCCTCTGAGTCACTGTACTCCTCCTGCCCCAGCCTCAGGAGCACTGGGATGGCCAGTGTGCCCCCCGACCCCCCAACTCCAGAGCGTGATTTCAAAGGCAGTGAGTTTTTCTTCTTCTTCTCGGTACCAGGAATTGAACTCACAACCTTGCGCTTGCCAGGCAGGCGCTGTGCGGCTGAGCTAAATCCCCAGTCCCAAAGGCAGGGAGTTTTCATTCCTTGGGTTTGTTTCTGTATCTCCTGGTCTGGCACATAGTAGGTGCTCAGTATCTGTTGACCTCAAGTAGATGCCAAGTCCACCTCCTGGAGGAAGACGCTGAGGCCAAGGCTGGGCCCACAGCCGGGAGGTGGTAGAGGTGGGATTTGAACCCGCCCAGGAGCCTGTCTTGCCTGCCAGCTCTAGCACAGGGATGGGGCGGGCTGGGTCACAGGGCAGGCCCCCCTGAGTCCTCTCACTCCCCCAGGGCACAGAGGTACAGGTAGATGACATCAAGCGGGTCTACTCCCTCTTCCTGGATGAGTCCCGCTCCACACAGTACATGAAGGAGTACCAGGACGCGTTCCTCTTCAACGAGCTCAGTGAGTGTCCCGCCTTGCCCCGTGTTCCTCCCGCTGTTGTCACCCTCTGGGCCACACTGACCAAACTGCCTCCCTTCTTGCTGCAGAAGGCGAAACCATGGACACCTCCTGAGCTGGAAGTCACCCCTGCCCCACCCTGTTTTCTACCAGAATTCGGACACTGTGAATTTGTATAAAATGGTTTTTTGCAGCTGGACCCACAGTGTGCGTGTCGCCTAAGCCACAGAAAGACGCCCAGAGAGCATGCGGGTTGAGAAGCCTTTATTAGGAAGCGTTCACGGGTCCTTAGAGGAAGAGGATGCCTGGCAGGTGGGGGAGGTCACAGGTCAAGGGCTGGGCCCTGGGACCCCCGCAGTCAGAGCTGCTGAGGCGACAGGGCCCGCAGCGGCAGCTGAGTGCCACGGGGAAGGAGACCACGGGGTCCACCCCAGGTGGGCAGCCAGGGAGCCGGATGGAGGCGAAGCGCACCTCGCGGTAGGTGCACACCGGCTGGGTCACAGGCATCACAGCGGTCGGCAGCACCCGCATCTGGGGACCAAGACGGGGCTGGCGGTTATCTGCTGGGTCCCGGGCCTCACCTGAGCACTCCCTGCTCACAGACCCAGGTTCTGGGGGTCCTGGAACCGTCCACACCTTCCCTCCCGCCACCTGGTGCTGCTGGGGGGGCCCCCTGTCCAAGCTGACCCCGTCAGGCCAGCATCTGCCCACCCAGGCCACTCACCATGCTGGGACAGTAGCCAGCACAGATGCTGGTGGTGAAGGTGACGCAGACGGGGCAGGCCTCGTTCTCGGCAGCCAGGGTGGCGTTGATCGGCCGGCAGAAGGGCCGCAGCAGCCCCCTGGAGGCCCACACCCCACTCGAGCTCAGCAGCAGCCCCAGCAGCAGCTCCTGGGCAAGGCCAGTGCCGCAGGTGCTGTGACTGGCCACCCCAGTCAGAGCCACCAGCCCAACCCTTTGGGGCCCACCCCACAGCCCAGGGGACATGGCAGCACTGTGCACTGCTCCACACTTCATCCTGCAGAAGCTGCTGGCTGTCACCCTCTAGAATGAGGCCACCTCCACCTGTGACACCATTCTGTCCCTCTCCGGTGTAGCCTGGAAGAGGGGAGGCTCCGGGGGCCTCGTCTTACCTGGAGCATCTCCGATCTTGCTACTGCCCCTGCCTACCTCCCTGGCTTTATACCTGTGGGCTGTGGGGGCGGCAAGGCCACCTGGTGGTGGCAGCAAGCTGGGGTAACCTGGACACTAATCCCCTGGGGGCGAGAAGCCACAAGGTCGCTGAGGCGCGGCAGTGGCTCCAGAGACACCGAGGTGAAGGTGACAGGAGGTAGAGCCCAGGTCCTGTTGGAGCCACAGGAAGTGGGACGCAGAAGTCCCTGCCCGGGTAGGGCCCGCGTGGAGGTCTCTGTGGGTCGATGCTCTGACCCAGGAGGTGCTGGAGCCACCCAGGGACCCTAGAAGCCACCCTTTGAGTGCCAGTCCTGCTTCTGTGGAGGGGAGTGGCTTCTGTCTTAGGGTCCAGCCAGTCCTAGAGGCCCCCAAAGTGCTGTGCTAGAGCAGGGGCCTGTGTGTACCCCGCCCTTAGAGATCCAGACAGCATCCCAACATCCAACCCTTGCGAGAAGTCGGGATTCAAGGAGCAGGTTCGGGAGTGGGCGGGGCCTGGGTTTAATGGGGGTTGCACCCTGCCCCCTGAAAGGGCGTTTTTCAGATGCGCCACAGCTTTGACGGGCTTTCTGCGTGCTCCGTTCCTGCCGACATAGCGGGCGTGACCCGTGCTCAGCGCCGCTCAGACCAGCTCCGGCTTCAGGCTGCCGTAGCGGGAGGACTCGGTGCTGTAGGCTTTGGGCACGCTGAAGATGCCCGGCAGGGGCTTCCAGTGGGGGCCGCCCCAGGGCGCCTCCAGCGGGCAAAACCGGTCCAGCCGGCGCAGCGGGTGGGATGGGAGCCTGTAGGACTCCTGAGCCAGGGACAGGGACCCGCGGTGCGGCACGGCCGGCGTCGCCGGGAGCGCGCGGGGCAGGCGGACCAGCTTCGGCCGCTGCAGGCCGGCTCCCCGGCCCCGAGGCGCCCCTTCGAAGTTCCAGTAGGTCAGCACGTCCCGGCGCGGGTATCCAGACAGCTCCTTCCTGTGGGAGGGAGGAGGAGGAGGTTCCTGAGTGAGACCTCTGCTCCGGAGGAATAAACCCCAATTCCTGCTTTGAGGCGAAGGAACATTCGTAGGAGTCAGGGACCCTTTAGGAACGGGCCGGGGAGTCACGGAGTCTGAATTCCTTGGGAAGGAGCACAGGTCCAATACCGAAGGAGGCTCCGCCCTGAGCCCTAGGGCCTGCCCCCAGGTCTGAGCCGGCTCTGTGGCGCGGCGGGCTTCCTAACCTAACAGGGGTTGCTGAGGCTCAATACTGTGGGCAGCTCGGTGGCAGAGCGTTTGCTTTAAACAAGACCCTGGGGTGGGTCCCCAACACCAGGATTGCAAGGGGCACACCGGGGTGCCTTTTTCGGGGGAGGGTGCTGGGGATTGAATCCAGGGCCTCTTAGATGCTAGGCAAGCACTCTACTACTGAACTATATCCCAGCTTTTTTTTTTAAAATTTGACACAGGGTCTCCTTAAACCACTAAATGGCCCAGGCCTCAAACTTGGAATCCTCCTGCCTCGGCCTCTCAAGTAGCTGGGATTACAGGGGTTTGCTACAATCCCTAACTTGGGTGCTGAAAAAGAGGTGGGAGCTGGGTCAGAACTTTGGTTCTTGCTGTATCCTGGAGTCAAAGACTGAGACCGTCAGAAAAGAACTGGGCTCCCACCAGGGTCAGCAGGGCCGTACAGGAGGGCTATTCAGAGCAAGCAGGCGAGCTGGGCATGGTGGCGCACGCCTGTAATCTCAGCACTTGGGAGGCTGAGGCAGGAGGATCCTTGCAAGTTGAGACCAGCCTGTGTTACAAAGTGAGCTCAAGGCCAGCCTGAGCTGCATAGTGAGACCCTGTCTCAAAAAGACAAAAACAACAACAACAACAACAACAAAAAAAAAAAAACAGCAAGCAGGCAAGGATGCAGCTCACTTGGGGTAGAAGCGGAAGTCTCGGGCTGAAGTGGTCAAATAGAGCTGATGTTGGTCCAGGACACCCTGGTCAGGTATCATGAACGTCCGGGGAACTAGAGCCTGAGGGACAGGGAGAAAGGAGGGATGGGCAAGGAAGAGGTCACACTACTTCCAGGTCCAGGGTCCCAGACTCGATGTCTTTCTTCTTCCACCAGGACAGCCCTGTTGGACCAGGCCCTCCCACTCTGCCCCCAGAGCCCTTCCCAAGCAGTTCCGCTCCAGGGTGCTTCATTTCCCAAATCCTACCCCAATCTCTTTTTTTTTTTTTTTTTTTTTTG